TTCCCCAATGCCTTGATAGACCGTCCCCTTTAATAAGAAGGCGGCATCTATGGAAGCAATGATGGAAGTCTTTAAACAGGTAAAAATCAACCTCCCCCTGTTGGAGGCGATTAAGCAAGTACCATCCTATGCCAAATTTCTAAAGGACCTTTGTACGCAAAAGCATAAATCTAGGACACATGTGTCCCAAAAGGTCCTACTTACAGAGCAAGTAAGCTCCATCTTGTTGAATGACACACCTCCTAAGCTTAAGAACCCGGGCGCCCCAACCATTGCATGCATTATAAGGGACCATTTTATTGATAGGGCCTTATTAGATTTAGGGGCTAGTGTCAATTTGTTGCCGTACTCTGTGTGCGAGGAATTTGGACTTGGCGAGTTAAAGCCCACTACTGTTACTCTTTAGTTGGCTGACCGGTTCCTCAAAGTGCCACGTGGCATGATTGAGGATGTGCTAGTAAAGGTTGACAGGTTTTAATTCCCTGTTGACTTTTTGGTGTTAGATATGGAACCGGTAGCCAGTTCTAGGAAACAAATCCCGGTGATCTTAGGTCGACCTTTCTTGGCTACGGCCAATGCATGCATTAATTGTCGTATCGGGGTGATGGAAGTTTCATTTGATAACATGCAAGTGACACTTAATGTTTTCCAAGCATCCCAACAACCCCATGAGAGATATGAGTGCATATTTGTGAATGTTGTGGATGAGGTTGTGAAGGAAGTTTTGCCCTCCATTCTTGTAAAAGACCCTTTAGAGGCTTGTCTAGCTCATTTTGGATTTAAAAATTTTGATATTGACGGGTCGGTTGAGAAGGTGAATGTCTTGCTTAATGCTTCTTCTACACCGGATTTTCCTCCGTGGAAAACCCAGTTTGAGTCACTTCCTCCTCTGTCGAGAGAGCCTGCCATACCATCTTTGGTCACACCACCTATACTTGAGTTGAAGCCACTCCCGGCCACACTCAAGTATGCATTTTTAGGGCCCCAGAATGCTTTACCAGTCATTATTGCATCTGACTTGACTGCAAAGCAGGAGAGTCAGTTAATGAGTGTTCTCGTGGCACATCAGAGTGCTATAGGGTTGTCAGTGGCTGATTTGAAAGGGATAGATCCCTCCGTGTGCATGCATTATATACACCTAGAGGAGGACACCAAACCTTCTCGCGAAATGCAACGGAGACTTAATCCTAATATGAAAGAGGTGGTGAAAAATGAGGTATTGAAATTGTTGGATGCAGGTATTATATACCCCATCTCGAATAGCAAATGGGTGAGTCCCACACAAGTGGTAACCAAGAAATCGAGCATCACTGTTGTTGAGAATGAGAGAGGAGAGTTAGTCCCCACACGAACCACTACTGGGTGGCGAGTGTGCATTGATTATAGGAGACTGAATTCCTCGACTAGGAAGGATCATTTTCCCTTACCTTTTATTGATCAAATCCTAGAGTGGTTAGCAGGGCAGGGTTTTTATTATTTTCTTGATGGTTACTCGGGGTATAATCAAGTCCCGGTGTACCTCGCTGACCAGGAAAGACCACATTCACATGCCCTTTTGGCACTTTTGCTTACAGGCGCATGCCCTTTGGGCTATGTAATGCACCGACAACTTTTCAACGGTGTATGATGGCCATTTTCTCCGATATGGTGGAGAAATTCTTAGAGGTTTTTATGGATGATTTTTCGGTATTTGGACCGTCTTTTGAGGAATGCCTAGGGAACTTGACTAGAGTGTTGGAACGATGTACTGAGGCAAACCTAATCTTGAGTTGGGAAAAGAGCCATTTTATGGTTCGTGAGGGTATAGTGTTGGGACACATTGTGTCCCCTCGAGGTATAGAGGTAGACAAGGCTAAGGTTGACCTCATTGCAGGCCTTCCTCCACCCAATTCCGTGCGTCAAATTAGGTCTTTCTTAGGGCATGCAGGTTTTTACCATAGGTTCATCAAAGATTTTAGTACGATATCACGTCCTTTGTGTAGTTTACTGGTTAAGGATGCGCCTTTTATCTTTGATGAGGCATGCTTAAAGGCATTTGAAACACTAAGAATGGCCCTGACCACTGCCCCAATCATGAAATCACCAGATTGGTCGCTTCCCTTTGAAATCATGTGTGATGCCTCCGATTATGCTGTCAGGGCTGTGTTGGGCCAAAGGGTCAATAAGACACCATTTGCTATATACTATGCTAGTCACACTCTCTCGGATGCACAATTGAACTATACTACCACCGAGAAAGAGTTGCTAGCTGTGGTCTTTGCCTTAGATAAATTCCGGTCCTATCTCCTAGGTTCCAAGGTCATAGTCTTCACTGATCATGCTGCTTTGCGGTATTTACTATCAAAGAAAGAGACCAAACTTAGGTTAATTAGATGGATTTTGTTGCTTTAGGAATTTGACCCAGAGATCCAAGATAAGAAAGGATCTGAGAATGTGGTAGCAGATCACCTCTCTCGAATCCTCGTTGGGTATACTAGTGACCCTCTTATTTTGCATGATTCGTTTGCGGACGAACAACTTCTTGAGCTGTCACGAGCGAGCCCCTCGTGGTTTGCACATATTGTGAATTACTTGGCCATTGGGCAAATTCCACAAAATTGGTCTAAGCAAGACAAAAATCGATTCTTTTCGCAGGTCAAGTATTATTTTTTGAGAGGATCCAGAGTTGTTTAAATATTGCTCCGACCAAGTGATCCGACGGTGTGTGCCGGGGAGTGAGGTGCATAGCATTCTTACATTTTGTCATTCTTCTGCATGTGGCGGTCATTTTAGTGGGCATAAAACGGCCGCCAAGATTTTACAGAGTGGGTTTTATTGGCTCACAATTTTTAAAGATGCCCATCAATTTTGTAGAACTTGTTTGCGCTGTCAGCAAATGGGTTCGATATCTCGGCGTGACATGATGCCAATGTCCTTTATTCTTGTGGTAGAGATATTTGATGTTTGAGGAATTGATTTTATGGGACCTTTCCCGTCGTCATTCAGGTTTAAGTATATTCTCTTGGCAGTAGATTATGTGTCTAAGTGGGTGGAGGTGATAGCTACCTGAACAAATGATCATAGAGTTGTAATCAAATTTTTGCATGAAAATATCTTTAGTCGTTTTGGGTTTCCTAAATCCATAATAAGTGATTAGGGTACGCATTTTTGTAACCGGTTCTTTGAGTCGGTAGTTAAGAAATACTCTATCACTCATAAAGTTGGCACTCCATACCACCCTCAAACTAGTGGCCAAGTGGAAGTCTCAAATAGGGAGGTAAAGCACATAATAGAGAAAACGGTGAGGCCAGATAGGAAAGATTGGTCACAACGATTGATTGATGCATTATGGGCCTACCGCACTGCTTATAAGACACCCATTGGGATGTCACCATATAGGGCGGTGTTTGGCAAAGCTTGCCATCTCCCGGTTGAACTTGAGCACCGAGCATTGTGGGCCATAAAGAAGTTTAACTTCGATATGGCCGCGGCTGGGCTCAGCCGGAAATTGTAACTCAATGAGTTGGAGGAAATCCGAAATGATGCATATGAGAGTTCGAGAATTTTTAAAGTTCGAACTAAAGAATTCCATGACAAGCACATTAATAGAAAATCCTTTGAACCCGGCCAAAAAGTGTGGCTTTTTAACTCAAAATTGAGACTCTTTCCGGGTAAGCTTAGATCAAGATGGGATGGACCCTTTGTGGTTGCTGAGGCATTTATTCATGGCGCCGTTGAGGTGCAAGATCCAAAGACTGGCCACACTTTCAAAGTGAATGGCCAAAGACTGAAGCCATATATAGAGGGAATTGGGAATGGGGATATGATTGAATTCATTGCTTTGATGGACCCTTTTTACTATGATTGAGAGATTGATGTCTTCTTTTCTTTTCTTTCCCTTATATTGTATTTTATTTTTCTTTATTCTTGTTGTGCTTTATTTGCGTCTAGGAGACTTTAAATCCTCTAAAGGTGTAACTCCTTTAGTGTTAGTCGTGCCCAAACGGCATCTGATGGTCTGGTATAGCCACCTAACCGTGTTTGTAGTGAGTTCCTAGGAGACTAACTGAGACGGTGGAAACTAGAGTTTGAATGGCAAAGCCTAGAACACAAAGGTTTAGAATTTCCAAGACTAGAGTCTGGTTTAAATACCCAGGGGTGTGGAAATTGCTTCAAAACTACCCCGGCTTGAACTCTGTATGGTAGCCCCATAGGTTGAGGTAGCTTTATGCGCTTCGATTCTGGATACCGAATCAACCTAGTCTGTCACCCTGTTGGAGAATAGGAAAAGTTACAAATGTCGTTACGGAGAAAAGTAGTACCCGTGGTTTTTGTGTGAAGATTATAGATTTATTGAACCATTTATTTATGGTCACAAATATTCTTATGTTGATTGTAAATTTAAGGTTCAAGTTGGGTTGGAAAAAAAAAAAATTCCCGCACGTGCGGCACCACCCACGCACGTGCGACACAATTCCATCCCTCAAAAGTGCACACTGCTTTAAAAGTAGGTGCGGAGGAGGAGGTGCGGCACTGCACACCGCACGTACGGCCTGGGCCCCGTACGTGCGGCACCACCCACGCACGTGCGGTGAAATTCTCAAACCACAAGTTGCATACTACTTTAAAAGCAAGTGAGCAAGGGCGTACGAGGTGTGTGTCCGCACGTGCGGGGTACACTCCCGCACGTGTGGCGTTTTCTTTGAAAAGAAAAAAAAAAAAATCTGCTGATTTTGTTATGTTTATTTATTATTATCTTTAATTTATTTACTTATTTCAAATAAATAAATTATAAATAAAAATAAATAAATATACTATTTTATTTCTCTATTTATTTTTATTTTCATTATATAAAAAAAATTGAAAATATAAAAAATATATGTATAAAAAAAAACATTGCAAATTTTTATTTTTTTATTTTTTATTTTCGATGTTGAAAGAAAAGAAAAATAATTTTTGATCTCATCAAAACCCTATCCACTCCTTTCACAATCACTCACAAACTCTCTCTCTACCTCTCATTATCTCTCTCTCTCTCTCTCTCTCTCTCTCTCATAATCCCACAAACCCATAATCACCATCTTCTTCTTCCTTTTTCTTCCTTTTTCTTCTTCTTCATCACCACCACCATCTCACCGCCGGCATCACTATTTCCTCTCCGTCCGACGAATCTTCGGCGACCACCATTTTTTCTGGCGAATCTCCATTCTTTCTCTCTATTTCTCTACTTTTTCAAGGTAAACTTTACTTTTTGTTTAGATTTGTAGGTATAGGAGTAGAGAAGTAGAGTTTTGATTTTACTTTTTGTTCAAATCTTGATCTATGTTTCATACTAAAAAAAAAAGAAGGGGTTTTTATATTGCTTAGTCATGTTTGTTCACAGGTGATTTTTTTTTTTAGTTGTTTATTCTTTCTATTATTTTATTTTATTTGTGTTTATTTAGATGTAGTATACTAATTTAGCCATGTTTATTTAGTTTGTTCATCATAAAAAAAAAAAATCTCGGCAGCAAAAAGATGACAGCTGCACCTGCGGCCTAATCCGGCGCATGTGCGGTACCTTTCTATAAAAAAAATAAAAAAAAAATATTTTAGCTATTTAGTTGTTTGTTTATTTAGTTGTTTATTCATTTTTATTTTATTATTTCTTTATTCTTTTTAATTTAATTCTTTACTTGTTAGTATAGTTTGTTTTCATTTATTTAATCAGTTGTATTTACATAAAATGCTCATGTGTTTAGTTAATTTTATTTTAGGTTTCATATATTGTAAAAAAAAATAAAATAAAAAAGATATAAAAAAATATAAATAATAAATAATAAATATAAATATAAATAAATATATATATATATATATATATATAATTAATTCCTAGCTTTTCTAATTCATTGTATTTTCTATCTATTTATTTAGTTGTTTAGATGTAGTTTATTATCTTAGTATTACTTGTTAGTTTAATTTCATACTTGTTAAAATGTTAATATGTAAGTTTAAATTATTCTATTTCATTTTGTAATACAAAAAAATAAAAAAGTTAAGAGAATTGCATGTGGAACATCAGTAGACAGACTTGTGTTTTAATATTTTATTTGATTCTCATGCTGGTTTCACGGGTATATGTGTTTATTGTTGGTGTGTGCAGGACATGAGTCGACGTGTATCTGCTCGGGCCTCCAAAAAGGCCAGAGGTTCCACCTCTTCAGCGCCACCACCGCCACCGTCACCACCATCCTCGCCACCACCACCGGGTGACTTGCCACAGTCGGAGTGGGCTTCACGCCCGTTTCACAAGCTCACGCAGTTCAATATTCCATATTTTCAGCGTGACCCGACCACCTCTTGAGCCGTTGAACAGCTCCAACTCCGGCAACAGTTGGGCCTTTGCACTGTGACAGTGCCAACTTATCTTCGTTCGGTATGGCTCTTCTACCAGAACCTACGTGAGTCACTCACTGAGCCCAGGCTGCTATCCATCATTGATGGCCATCTCGTCAGCATCACTGAATCCATGATTGCTGACACATTAGGGTTTTTTGCCAAGCTAGAATACCAGCCCTTCCCGAAAGTCGAGGGTCAACAACCCATACATAGCCTCATCCAGCAATACTTCCCGAGGGCCCACGGTGACACCAGTTTCACATGCTTGCGGCGGAGCAAGCTGCCTAGCCGCTTGCTATTCATTGATTCCGTGGTCTATAAGAATGCCCTTCCATTTGGACATAGAGCTGAGCGCCGTTTGGAGTTTGTTCTGGTTTTACACGGTTATTAGCATGGCTATCAGGTCTCGTTTGAGCATATCATCTGGATGCATGTGCGGAAATTTCTACGAGAGACAGTTCGGCCTCAACCTATGCAGAAACTAACTTGGCCACTACCATTTGCTAATTTGTTGACACTTGTCATTGAGCTGAACGACCTCCCCATTGCTTCGAATGAGGAGATTGATAGAGCGTATCTGACATTCGGCCAGCGGGAATGGTAGCATAGCCTATCTTGCATCCCGCAGCAGGTTGGTGCCCCAGTTGATGAGGCCCAGGACCTCGTCCACAACCACTCACCTCATCTTGTTCCCCCCGTGCCTCCCCAAGGGGACCCACTCTACATGACTCGCGAGGAGTACTTACAGCTTCAGCACTCTGTGGATCAGGTCCACAGTACTCTCCGTGATCACCACCAAAGTCTCATGGGATTGCGCACGGATTTTCAAACGCATTGAGACTATTTTCAGGCGGCCTTCGACCAACTGCACGCCTGCCGCTTGACATCCAGCAGTCAGTTGCATCACTGCAAACTGATTTTTATACTTATCGAGAGTCGAGCCAGCAGGGCCATGATCAGCTCAGCCAACGAGTTCAAGATGAAGCCTTTGAGACGCGATCTTTGATGTACGCCTTGTTTGCCCAGCATTTCCCACCACCACAGCCACCGGATTCTCCGTAGTACCTGCCTATATATTACTTTATCTCTTTTATTTTTAGTTATTTATTCTTTTCAAAAAAAAAGAAAAAAAAAATGTGAAGTGTGTGTGTGTTACTATATGCCTACCTGGATGTGCACCTACAATCTCTGGTAATCTTCTCTCATTTCTCTTTACTTTTCAATTGAGGACAATGTCATATTCAAGTTGGGGATGAGGGTTGTATTTTCTTTTGTGCATTTTTATTGGCTAAATCATTTATGCTTATACATGTTTCACTTGATTGCATTACTTCACTTGATGTGACTTGTTGCTAGTACGGTGATGATATTTGTATATGTTGATTGGGGAGCTTAGTAGACTTGTATGAAAAGGATTTATTGGGTAGATATTGCATGTGATGTTTGCATAGGAGAGTTATTTGTGTTTGTGGTATTAATACACTTGTCATGAGTATACCTCAATGCACATGAACACACTATCATAGCGGTGACTTTTTTATTATAATCCCTAGTGTACATCATTGATAATAGCTAGGATTGCAGAAAAGAATAAATGAGGAGCCAAGATTCAAAAAAAAAAAAAAACAGTTGACTTGTTTGGGTTCGTAGCCTTTTTAACTCGAGTTATTAAGCCCGTAGGGGTGTCTCTACACCTAGTGCCCTAAAATCGTCTAGTTTGGGAGTCATTGGCCAAATACTTGCTACATGGGTTAATTAGAAAGCTTAAGGGACTTAGACATTGCACAGTTAAGGAAAAATAAGGAGAATGATTTGTTCAGATTCGTAACCTTTTCAACTTGAGTTATTAAGCCCGTAGGGGTGTCTCTATACCTAGTGCTCTAAAACCGTCTGGTTTGGAAGTTATTGGCCCAATACTTGCTACATGGGTTGATTAGAAGCTTAATGGATTAGGACATTGCACAGTCATTTAAAAAAAAAAAAAACTTTTAAGAATCTTGGTTGCTACAGGTTAATTTTTTTGTATATGTTGGGTGTTATTATGAGTTACACTGGGCTATTATAGTGGACAGTTAACTAATATGGAGATTGCACTTTACATCGAGGGTACTGATGATTTGTCTTCTAGCATACACAAGTACAGGGGACTTTACTTTTGTATTAACTGAATTGTGGTTTTGACTTAATAGGTTCCTTCATGCTTGTCCATTGTGCCTTTAATGACTCATTATGTCTTAATATCACACTATAGTGGCGCATAAGTTGATTGTTAGGTGCAGTAGTGTGGTTAATTGTTGGGCATATATGAATATGTAGATTTTATTTTATTTTATTTTATTTTTATTACTTGCTTGAGGACTAGCAAGTTATAAATTGGGGGATGTGATTAAGGCCGAATTATACATCATTGAGGCTGTTAATTAGTATCTCTTAACTTCACTTGCTTGTCAAACTATATACTTTATGTGTGTTGAATGTCAATTAGGTTGTACATAGTCGGAGCATAAAATAGGCAAAAAGACAGAATTTAGAGAGAGTTGACTTTCCTGCACGTGGGTTGACTTTGTCTGCACGTGCGTTGACTTTTTTTGGGAAAACGTGCCAGATGTTTTAAACCTGTTTGGAAAGACACCAGAAGTATAAATAGGCAAGAAAAATACTGGATTAGGGTTTTGAAGTTGTTTTGGAAAAGAGAGAGGTTAGGGTTTAGAAAGAAAGAAACTTGAAGTTTTAAGCATGTCTCCCATGGTGGCTTGTTCTTCATCTACCTCCTTCCACTCCTCCATGAGTGGCTAGTCTCATTTTCTAGGGTTTTCATAAAATCCTAGCCATGTAATTAGTTTTTCTTTTTAATTTTCAATTATATAAAGGTTTGAACAATTGTATGGTGTTTTAGAAGTTATAAATATACATTTTCCATTATTTCTTCAAATATTCGGCTTTCTGTGATTGTTGAATGTTTTCCATACGAGAGACGAGTCGTGTCACTACCTTAGTTTAGAGTGAACGATTCGTACTACTTGAGATGGTTCGTGCTCGTATATTAAACGTGATGATTTTCTTGTTAAATGCTTTGAACTTGTAGTTGCAAAGCATTATTCCGTTCGAACCGTATCATAATTGTTTTTAATTTGAAACCCTATTTACGTAACTAGTGGTGGACTCATTACCCTAAGTTTTTTTCCAAATCAGTAAATCCAATTTTATTTATAAATGTTAATTTAATTACGTAGTTTAATTTATTTGTTATTAAATTAGGTTATGAACAATAAATCTTTTCATCAAAATTAATTAGGAATTTAACACTTAAATTAGTTTAATTTCACAATTGTCCTTGTGGATCGATACCTAGATTTGCCATTATTTTGATAGAATTTGACATAATTTTGTGTTTAATTTTAGTGTGTTTAACGACCCATTATGTTTATAATTTATCCTAAAATTAATAAATAAAAAAAAATGTTCTAAATTAAGACTTATATTAGGCCCATATTGACCAAGATAAGCACGGAGTCCATAAGCTCATATTCTTAAAATATCACGTGGGCCAACCTAAGCCTGTGCTATTGACCAGTCAAAGTCCATGGGTCTAGACCGGGGTCGAGCCTGGCCCATTTCCTAGTCCCACCCTTATTTTTTTTGCTTTCCTTTTGATTCTCACTGCTCTTGCGCAATGCTCATTTTGAACCGACGCAAAAATAGGAAAATGAATTTGTTTACCTTTTAAGGAGTGCTCAGCTTGTTTTTGAGAAGATGATTAAAAATTAATTTTTAAATTTTTTTAATATTTTTTGAAAATAATATGTAAAAAATATGAAAAATAATGTGACATAAAATTGATTAAAAGTTAAAAGATGACTTTTAACCATCTTCTTAAAATAGTCGTGTTAAAAAATTAAGGGCAAATTATGTATACCCCCTTCAAGGTTTAACAAAATTAGAGATACTCATGAGGTTTGAGAAATTACAGATACCCCCTGAAGGTCATATTTGCATAATAAATTAGGGGGTAATTTGTTATGAAAATATAAATCTCAGGGAGCAATTTGTTATGAAAATATAAAACTCAGGGGGGTATCTGTAATTTCTGAAACCTCAAGGATATCTATAATTTAGCTAAACCTCGAGGGAGGTATATGTAATTTGCCCAAAAATTAATGATTCCTATATTCAAAAAGTGTTGACTGTGTGAGGCTAGGTGAACAAAACATATATGAGTGATAAAAAATAATTTAGCTTATTTGGTTTGGATTTTTAGGATTCACTTTTCAAAAAATTAATTTTTTTTATTTTTAGTGTTTTTTTTTTCATTTTTTCTAATTTTTTTTAATATTCTAAGCAATTTTTTTTTTAATTTTTAGATACACTTAACACAAATACACTTAAAAGTATAATATGAGAATTTAATACATTCTTTGTATTTTTGTGTATTTATTGATTTTTAAAATTATTTTTTTTATAAATATTTTACTTTTTAGATACATCTAAGTAAGGTATGTCTAAAAAAGTTTAAAAAATTGTTTAAAATTTTAAAAATATTCACTACAAACAAAAAAAAATATGAAAAATAAAAAACTCAATTTCTAAAAAATTGAATTCAGAAAATTAAAATTAAACATACAATTCTTATATCCAAAAAGTGGAGAAATTTTTGTTGAGTATTTGGGGAACAATAGTGAACATATACATTTGTGATTAGTGAAAAGTAGTGCCACGTGGTGCCCTATTAGCATACAAAAATTTCTCCAAAAAGTGTCAATTGTGTGAGGGTAGGTTTGGGCAAGCAACGGTTCCCAATAGGGATTGGAGGGTTTCTGGTGAGAAGAAATGGAGTTTTTTGGCTAAAAATTTTTTTGACTATCCTTATTTGGGTACATATTATTTTAATAATTTTTTTTAACTAAAATATGAAATAAAAAAACTTAGCGTATTTAGAATAATTTTTAATTTTTTTTATAGAAAAAATGTGCAAAAAGTAAAAAGAAAAAGAAATATTTAATTTTTTTTTTTTTTTGGGTATAATTTGTTGGTTTTTTTACTTTTTTTAGTGACTTTAATTTTTATGTTAAAATAGTAAGTTGCCAAACAAGTGATGAAAATATTCAAACTAAAACCCAAAATTATTACTTTTACATAAAACCATAATGGTACACAAATTGCCACAATCTCTATTCCTGGTTTGTCTTCCTTGAATTTTCGACAAATGCTACGTAGACCTCTACTGTATTTTCATAAAAATTAGTCAGAATTAAACCTTCCTAGAAAAATGGTGATTAACTGGTAATTTTTGTCTAACAATTGTTCATCGTGTGAGAATCTCAAAATACAAGAATCTCAGGACACAATCGAACAAGTTTTGAGCATTTTGGGACTTGAGAACTGAAAAAATTGAGACAGAATCTCGCGCCTAGTTTTACTTCATGGAAACTTCTCCATCAATGCCAGTCATTTTAAGTATACAGACACAATTTTGGCAGCACTCCTTTGAAGTCATATTATCATCATGCTGCAAGTACATGTCGTGACTTGGAGCGATGACAAGTGTTATCTACTCCTAGTGTTGTGGCATGTGTTCAAGTTACAGAAATTAAAAATTTAATGGAAAGAAGGAAGGCTGCCTACTTGCTACATATTCCAGAAATCGTGGCTTGTAAGATGTTTTCCTCTGTTGTTTACCAAATTTACAACAAACAGCTGGAAATATTACACACAAGTCTATAACCATCCGACGATTTCCAAAGAATTTTGAAATCGAAAAATGGGGAGGATGCAAAATCTTACAAGCCATGATTCACGGCAGCCTCATTCCACTTCAAAATCTTTGGGTCCAGACAAGTTCCAAGTAAATCCAAGGCCAAAAATATTGTCACCCCTCTTTTCTCTAATAAACACAACCTAATAAAAGCAATTATTCATTGTAAATCAATAAAAATTGTGTGTACAAACCTTGGATGTCACACACAGGACATGAGTCCACACAACTGAAGTAAAACTCTGCATTGTCATCTTCGTCCAGGTAGTCTTTGACCGAAGAATTAATAAGGCTGAGGGGATGTCGGTGAGATACATGTTTGATGGTAGGCAGTAATGTTAATGCAGCTGACATGGAGATTGAATTGGCATTCCACACAACTGAAGTAAAGGGGAGTGCACAATAGATCACAACCTTTGCCGTCTATCAGCTCTTCTATGTGATCATGAAATAGAATATTAGGAGAGAATTGTGTCGAGTTTTTTTCTCATTTTTTTTTTGTAAAAAAAATGTAGCCATGATCTTCAACAGGACTTGGCAAACACAAATGGGTGGAATCCCAAAATCAACTACTACAT